TGAAACAATAACTTTACTTGTTTTCCTCCTCAGTTACATAAAGGAATATACCGTAATAATTATTATAAAAAATTAATATTTATCAACCAAATTTTCAAAAAAATTAGGTGAAGAAATATTTTAAAATTATATGATTTTAATAAAATATTATGAGAAAAAATTAACACAGTTGTTCTTGCTTTAAAAACTAAATTCTTTCAGCTTTTTTCAGTAAAAATTTATAAAACTAACAAAATTTTAATATTTTTACCTTAATTTTTTACATATCCATCCCATATCGATAAGGAAGTACATAACCGTTGTCTTAAAATTAACATTTTTATCATTTGATTAACAGCACATGGGTAAATATATAGTCTTGTAAGTGGTGTCAAAGTCAATTTCTAATTGTAATTGGTGATATTACAAATATGTAATTATAAACTCGGCTCTGTCAAGATTGAATGAGAAAATGTTTCCATCTATACTTTTGTTACGGTTAAGTGTTCTCAAAGTACATTTACAAAGGCTATCGAAGAAGTATTATTTACTTTTTACACAGATACGATACAACCATATATAGACGAGTCTTTATACTACTAAAACTTTGATTTTTAACAACAATATATCAGTAATATGAGATTCTTTGTTGCTAAAAATATGTATTATCAACAAGTTTTATATTACTGAAAATTGTACAAAACACTTCACCCTTGAAAAGCTGCTCCACTTTTAGTCATATACTTCTTGTTACTAAAAGTAACTTTCAGCAACATACTTCATCTTATTGATATTTTTTGGTGAATCCATTCCCATTTAATTAAGTTTCACTTTTAGCAACATGTTTCTTGTCGCTGAAATTCACTTTCAGCAATAAGAGTTATATTGCTGAAAACCTTTTCAACTACCTTAAATATTAGCAACATATACCATATTGTTGTTATTCCTATCTTTTTACCAACCAAATATCAACAACAAGAAATATGTTGCTAATATTAACCTCTTTGACCGATGGTGATGCGTTTAAAGATATCATTCCATGCTCCACAGCATCCACCCCTTTTGGTTTCCATGCATACCGAGCAATGTTGCTAAACACGTACGTTTTAGTGAACAAGGGAGGGCAAGAAAAAGCAGCAGCTACAGAAATACAAAAATAAAGAGCTAGACCTAACAGGAAGTATACAAGAAAAAATGCCTGGAGGATTTCTCTAGGACAAAGAATTTTGAATCCTATTCTGTTCAAGTTCGTGTTTTGCTTTCAGTTTTACTTGTTCTCTTGCTGCTGCGGCCGCTTGTTGGGCTTTGCAGGTGTTGTTGACTTGGGGTAAGTCACTTGGAATGCTCTGATGACATCCCGTACATTTGGATCGTTTTTTGGAATTTTAGTTCGCATTGCCTCTGCTGACTTGTGATCTCCGCAAGCCAAAAGCGCCTGATACATTCTGCAACAACACACCGGAATAAAAATAAAATCCATCAGAATCAGAGGGTCTGCATGACATGCAGGATAAAGTGATCAATTACCATACCATTGCTTACCTTAGGAAATTGAAAACATTATAAGGAAGGCCAGCAATCTCATATTCTTTCCAAATCAAAAGAGAGCTTTGCAGGTCTTTTGCTTTAACACAGGCATTCAGGATAAAATCAAGACATTTCCGTGAAGGGCTAATGCCTATGTCACTCTTTATGGCTTGTAGTAAATCCACGCCAAACTGTACATCAGCAGGTTCTTCCTCAGCAATAATGGCAAATGCCTGGAAACCGCAAAGTTTAAGCTCAATGCAGTCAGTTTGTTAACATGGGACAGGCTAGTAATTCAAACAAAGACGACAAGCACTAATAAATTCATAGATCTCTGTGGAAAAAACAAAAGTCTCACTGTCCGAGATGAGTTCCTGAATATCAAGCAAGAAGATTAGACAACATTAAGGAAGAGAAATGGCGTAAGAGCAAACCTCATCAAAAAGAACTTCTGCAGCCAACTCATCATAACAGAACTTGTCCTTGAGTTGCTTGAGCAAATGAACAGCAGTACTGGATCAAAGAATGAATTAACAAATGAACAGATGGTTTAGACAACATTCACGTACAAAAGGAGGGAGAGAGCTGGAAAAAGGATAACAAAATTATAATTGGAATATTGGATTGGTTAGAAAATTATGCAGCGTAAATAGAATCCCAGATAATGAAGAATTTCCTATCAGCTAACCTCAGATGCTTTTTTCTAACGCAAAATGAGATAACTCTGCAGCAACCCTCAATCCAATAGCCTTGATCATTCAATTCCTCTAATGGTTGAAGCATAAGATTCAAGTCTCTCTCGGAATGAAGACATTCCTATGAGAAAATGAGGAAAAATAAACCATGATATCACAACTGTACAGGAAAACAAATACAAAGGTCCTGTTCAGAACTTACCATCAGAGATAGGACAGCTCTAGGCTCCAGATCACCTCCAGATTGCTTGATTTCTTCACATGTGTCTAGGGCATCAGCCATTTGCCCATTTGATGCAAGAGAAGAGACGAGAGCACTTCTGAGTTCATTTAGGCTTTTAACTGGTATCCCTTCATCCAAGAGAACCTACCATATAAATTAGTATATCTGAGATTGTCACAGACATAATATAATAAATAATGCATAAAAATGTAAGAAATAAAAAAGGACGAAGAGAGAATGCAGAGAATTTTTAAGTTGTCAGATCCCATAGATATATCACATATCCAACACTTAATCATGGTTTAAACTCCATCATCAAGATGATTTCTCTATACTATATGATCAGTATATTTCCTCTTGCTTTTCCACCTCAAAAACAGGTGGGACTTCAAAAGAAAATGGTGCTACATGGATGTATTTCAGTCCTACCTGTTTTGCTTTCCCAAACAGTCCACAAGCTGCATATGCATTAATAAGTGACATAAATATGTGCTTCGTTACTGTAATCCCAGAACACTTCAGTTCTTCATAATACTACGAGCAAAAAATCAAATTATTGTATCAGTGGCCATGAAACCCATTTGCAGCATGACAAGAATACAAGTAGCAATAATGCAAGAGACAGCAGAAATGAAATTATCTACATATAGAAACAGGGAAGACATAAACTTCAAGCAATTACCATATTGCATCAAACTACCTTGATAATATCCTCTTCACGGTCACAAACTCAAATAGCCTATTAGATAGCTGTAAGTTTGAGGATCTGGTTTTACACTGTCAAGTTCCATTTGCTTGAGAACCCTCAACCCAGCGGAAATTTTCTTCTGAAAATTATTATATAACAGTGACATAAATCATGCATGAGGCATGTTTCAGATTAAAATGGCAATAAAGCTTCTCCAAAAAGAAAAGAAGAAACAAAATAAATACAAAAGGTATTAGACTGTAAAATTACCTCTCGAAAATATCCTGCCATTATAGCATTATACATGCCAGCTACAGGTTTAACATTCATTTTCCTTGAATCACTCAGCATCGCATATGCACCACCAAACTGCATTTAATGGATGAGAAGAAATACAAGCTCTATTTAACTTAAACTTGGAATAAAATTAGTTTGATAAAATACACCCCCCATCAAAATGAAATTAGGAATTATGAAAAGCAAAAAGAATTAACTAGCAACATGCACAAGCACTGGGAACTACAAAACAGGAGAGCTGGATAGCAGCTTACATCTTTCATTTTCACACTCAAACTTATCATCCTTCTGAATGTCTCAGCATTTGGCTTAAGGTTATGGCAACAGATCACTGAATAGATTCGCCGAACCTTAAGATCAACAAAATGACAAGAAAGGTAATAAGAAACTCAGATAGTGGTCAACAGTCAAGAACAATATAAAATTCTCAATGAGAGTTAATGACAAAACAGTATAAGGGTAAAACAACTTTGTAGAACTAGAGAATTGAAGTGCGATACCAAATTACACTCATGGTTCTCTTCAAGAGCATGCAATATGCAATTTAGCATGTCTATGGACAAGCTCAAACCGTCTTGAGAAATCTGGTTAACAATATCAAGAGCCAGTTGCACCTACATTATGATAAATAAACATTAATCAATTTCAAAGCATTTGTTAAAAGATAAAAGGACAGAAGTTGGATAAGAAAAGACCTTTAAAAGGAGCTAATGATACTATTTCAAATGTTTTTCATTCCCTTTACTCATAGTTTGAGTCTTACCTTACGTGAACTACAGCAAAACTTAATGAGCTCCTTGTATCATTCTAATGATGGTGTTATCTCAAATTTCATGTGCAAGCTTTCAAATTTCAGAACAACATCTTCAACCTTCAATAAACATATGTAAGAAACACTTTTGCAAGAGGCAGTTAACAAATTTAGCTTTTATGCAAAAATGCTCAAAAAGAGAAAAAAAATGAGAGACAAAATCACTCTCTTGCAGTCTAAAGCAATTATCATTTTAAGCCAGATCTAAATCTCTTACAAGTAGTTGTGGACCAATGTATTATAGCACTTGCAAGACATTCATCATAATTACATGGGGCCAGTGCCTCATCAATGTCAAAATTTCATATCTTTCAAGTCATATCTACAAGGAAATAGCACTTTAGAGGATAATAACTAAAATCTATCACATGTGCTTCAAATTGGTCATTCACGCTGAAACTATATATGCAATTAAACAACAATCATAAATTCCTCACCAGTCACCACCAAGACCTTTTTGAGAAGTACCAAGAAAAACTCACTGACAAGGATCTATAACTTTGACTCCAAGACCACAAAAGGCCTTTAGATGATTGCATAAACAAAGAATTTCTTTTGTACCCACTCCCCTCCCATCACAGCCACCCATAAAAAGAAGAGAAAAAAAAAATGGAAAGAAGAAGAACAACAACAAAAAGTAATAATAATAAAGAAAAACAAAATTTATTCCCCAAATGCAATTAACATCTTCCAAAAATTTCTGCTGATCACTAATTGTCACTCAAGTGAACTAGCATCACTGTTAAGTGTTAATTCTACTCAAAAAATCAAAGCAAACTAAATAATGGTTTAATTGCCAATTTCTTGCTAACCAAAATGGACAACTTCCTAAAATTTATAGAAAACACGTCAAAAACATTATCAAGATACTGAAAACTACATGGTGAAGTATAGGTGCTCCACGAAAACATGGACTCAAGTGCAAAACTTTACTTTCTTGTATATTTTTTTATTGACGTGGAATGTATTGATAAAAGAAAACTTAAATAAAATTGTACTTTTCTTGAGATATAGAATAATTATAAAACATAATAAATAACATAATAAATTAAAATTGTTTATTCTTATAAATTGTTGTTTCATTTTGAAAAAAATCTAGTTTCATAAATTCTTTCATTAACAAAAAGAATACTAATTTTTGAAAAAAGCACAAAGATTCTTTAACCATTGTTGACATATATATATTCAACTCACTTAGTTATAATTGATTCTCAATACATTTAATATTCATTCAATAACTGACACCATAATAATTCAATTTTTTTAAGTTCAAAAGGACTAGAGCTTTTAACCTAACATGAATTGTACCCTCATTAAACTAATCACTGATAAAATACTTATTGAAGTCAAATATATTCTCACTATCCATATTTCAAGAAAGAATTGCTTCTCTTAGCGTTATCTAACATGTGAAACATGAGTATAGTGCTTTGAATGCTGCATGCAGATGTTATTAGCAATTTTCTTCTCCCCTTATTCTTGTTTCATTGAAGATTGCTTCTATGTTTTTCTAACCATGTTTGGATTTCTCTGTGCAGAAGCTACACCAGTGGTTTGTAAACAGACTGGGTCCTCATAAGCAAACCTTTTCTTTGGAAAATGTACATCATAGATCCAAATCAACATCTTCATTGACCCTACAAATTGTTTGATACCGAAACCAACGGCAAAGATGCAAACACTTTTGTTTCTTGACTAAGAGTAAGAGTGTTGTGTTAGTTAATTGATGCTATACATCAATTTCTTTCCAACTTGAAAGAAATGCAACATACCTTCTTTTTTTTTTGGTTAAATAATTGTGTTTCATATAATTTACTATTATTTTGCAATTATTTGTCTGTTAATATTTTGCATTCTAGTTTCTTAGTAAATTAGTATTTTATTTTTGACTAGCTAAAATTCCTTTCTGAGATTAAAGTTTAAGTACATTTAGTGTTACTTTCTGTTCTGTAAATTTATACTCTATTTTCTCTACTTTATTATTATTTATTGAAATCTATTATATCGACATACATCATTTGTAGATTATCAAATTTACATGTGTTTGTACTTGATAAATTTAAATTTTATATATTTTTTACATGTCTTTTAATTTTAAGTTTTAGTTCTTTGAGTTGTTTGAGACTTATTTTATTTGATTTTACATATGTTTAATTTGTTTTGTCTAGGTAAGCACTAAATTACAAGAAATTGGAATTATTAAGACTAAACAAAAGAAATAAAAATTAGGAAGCTCAAAGTGTCAATTTTTTAAAAGAATGAGGGGTCCAAACAGTTTTACCAATGAGAAGTCCAAACAGCTTTAAAGGGCAAAATCTCGACACGGACTCTTCTTCGTTCATACAGAGAAGGTGTCGACACTTCTTTAGTGTACCGACACCTTAGGCAATTTCCAGATTTTAACGGAGTCCTTATTGTTTAGAAATGGGTTCAACCCCTATTACAATTAGGTTTTCTAGAAATATTTATCCAGTATTCGAATTAAAGGCAGTCGGCTGAGGAGTAGATTTTTCTAGCAAGAGGAAGAGGAGGAACTCCAGTGAAAAAGAGAAAAATTCTTTAGTGGTGACGTTGATCAATTTTGGATTTTTTTTTAATTTTTATTGAGAATGAGATTTTTTTTTTTTTATAATTGATCTCTAGACATTAAATTATGAACTAAGTTATTTTTTCTAGGGTTTTGATTAGATTTGAATTATGAATCTTCAAGTTAAGTTGAATTTAATTTTTTTATTTATTTTTTATTCAAGTGATTACTTTATTTTATATTTAATATTTTTAGTTAAATTAATGTTATAAATTTTAATTAAAAATTGCAAACCGTTTGTGCCAATCAGTTACAAATCCGTTGTTTTTCAAAAATTAAATCTGTGTAGTAACTCATTAGTTACGAATCCATCTTTTGAACCAGCTACATACTTAGCCGTTTCATTGAAAATATTTCAAACTTGCCAACAGTTCTCTTGCTATTCAACTATTCCAAAATAAATTCAGAACCGTTTCGTCAAAAACGTTTTAAACTTACTAATAGTTCTACTATTCAGCTATTCCAAAATAAATTTATATTATTTGGTTAGATTAGCCGCAAGGCCTACATATAGGCAGCCTTCATTTCTACCAATAATCTACAGTATTTTATATGCAAACTTTTCTGGATAAGGAAAAGATAGTGGGATAGAGTTTTTTTTTACGATAATACAATACTTATAAAGATAAAATGAGGAAAGTTTGAATTGTTGTATTTGGGGTGATATGGCCATAAGAAATTATTGTACCAGTGATAAAAAAACATCTTAAAAAAAAAAACTCAAATTCTTTATATTTTCAGTGACATCATTTTTTCTATCTTTAATTAATTATTTTTACTGATCTTTGTTAACTTCATTTTTCTATTTATTTTATTAGGAAAAACACTTGATCAATCAATTAGTTGTTTGGATAGTTGGCACTTATTTCATATCAAAAAATATTAGAGTTGAATCCTTAAATAGAATAACATAGGTTGAATGGCCTATTTCGGCTCAGTGATATTGGAATCTGAGTTAAGGCTGTTTACCAAGGTTTTTAAAATCGGACCGGATCGGTCGGTTGAATCGGTCGGACCGGTACCCGGTCATGAAAACGGTTTGGTTCATATAAGAAAACCATTTTAGGTCAAAATTGGTCAAAACCGGTCAAAATTGGTCAAAACCGATAAAACCGATAAAAACCGATAAAAACCGATAAAACCAGTAGAACCGGTGAAACCAAAAAAACCACCGGTTCAATTTCTCATGCAATCTTCTTTCAATTTTTTCCAATTTCACCCTTCCCATTCCTTTCTTATACCCATTTTAACCTTTAACTTTAACAAAATTACAAAATTATCAACACCAAATAAAAAAATCAATGCCTATAGCTTGCTCCTCTCATCAAACCTTCTTTATTGTTTGGACCGGTCGGTTCATCGGTTCAACCGGTTGAACCGGTCAAATCAAGAACCGGACCTGAAAACGGTTCAATGACCGGTCCGATTTTGAAAACATTGCTGTTTACCTCCTATGGATTGTATGTTCGAGTTCTACGGAAATCCTTTTCTCTCATCTCCTAATTAACCTATAAATAATTGCAATGTGTTTAAAAATAAAAAAAAGAATAACATAGGTTACATGATATGAGAATATACTCATAATATTTATGTGCACTTACAAAAGAAAAATTGTAAGGCTTAATAATACTTCTACTTTTTTTAGTTTGTGTAGAAATACAAAACTTAATAGATTAGAAGACATGTATTACTAGATCTTAAGAAAGATTAAGAATTTAAATATGAATTTTTTCTATTATCACTTGGGAATTAGTAAATTGAGCAAAAATTCAACAACAGAAGTTTGAAGAGAGTTGGGTTGGTGAAAATTATGTTCCTAGATTGTTTAGAAATTGAAATTAATTTTGCAAATTAGTTTAGTTTAGAATTGATTAAATTGTGTTTTTTCTTTCTAAAATTTGAAATTGTTAGATAAAATTAGAATTAACATAATGTTGATACTTAGCAAATATTTTTTCTAATCTTTATTCTCTATGGGACAATTTTAAATTCATTATTATATTATTTATTTGACAGTAGTATACATTTATATTTAATGTAAGGTTATATTCACAACAATATTGTTAGTATTCTAGCTTCTTAAATTAATAAATTAATAGTACATGCTGTATAATATATATCATTGGTTAATTAGTATTTTACTGCTTGTTTATGTGTTAGTATCTAACCTGGTAATAGATTTTTATTTTCAAATTTTCTTGAAATTTTATTCCCTATGCTGTAAGAAAAGTAAACTGATCTGGCTATTTATATAATTCATCTTGTCTTGGAATCTATTGCATTTCAGTAGACTTCCTTTTCGTTTAATTTTTTGCCATCCAGCAGACTTCCTTTTCAATCATACAAAAGCAATAGCAATTGGTAATACATTTTCTTTACCAAATGAGAAAGAGATTGGATTTAAAAATAGAGGTAAAAAGAAAAAAAGAGCAAAGAAAGGGAACTCTGAATGTAGAAGAAATAGAATTTCGTAAGCCAAAGTTTAATCTTTCACCGCTTCTAGTCTGGGTAATGTGAAAATAGAACATAAGCTACGACAAAAATAATGTGGAAGAGCCTCTCAAGCTTTACCCATCATATCCACGGTTCTTCTTTCACTCTCATGGCGTTAAAGACAATTATAGTCCCTCTACTTTCAATTTTCATTCATTGTCTTTTCTGCACTTACATATCGTTCAAAATCCTCCCTCTATTTTTCCAAACCATACTATGGTCCTCCCTCTACTTTAAATTTCCATTACATTTACCTCCCTCCCCCAACACCACCCTAACACCGTTTATGACTCCCATTTAACAGTGGCAACTTTGACCGTTAGTGCCAATGTTTTCAAAACCGGACCGGTCATTGAACCGTTTTCAGGTTCGATTCTTGGTTTGACCGGTTCAACCGATTGAACCGATGAACCGGCCGGTCCAAACAATAAAGAAGGTTTGATGAGATGAGCAAGCTATAGGCATTGATTTTTTTATTTGGTGTTGATAATTTTGTAATTTTGTTAAAGTTAAAGGTTAAAATGGGTATAAGAAAGGAATGGGAA